TCCTCCTGATCTCAGCCTTCCAAGTAGCTAGAATTACAGGCATGAATCATCAACACCTGGATGAATGTAATTTTTGTTGTCCATATCTTAGCCCCGCTTGACCATTGCGTATTGGGTAGGGTGGGGAGGCAGGTAAATTATCTTCTTAGTTATTAATTGCCTGACGAGGAAGAGCTAAATTTCAACCTGGTGAGAAAACTGTTCAAGAGATCTGCCAAGAGATCCTGATTTAGTGCTACATGCTATAGCTTAGTTCCATGAATGACAGGATAAAGGATGATCCCTTGCCCACTGGCCTGGAACATTCCTTCACCATTACCTGCGCAAGAAATAAACTTCTTATGTGTTAGCAAACTTTTACCTTGGGTCTCAACTACTCTAATGAATGCCTTACCCAATCAAGTGAGTGGGATAATGGAGCAGTAATCTCAAGCAGTGGCTGTGTTGAGACTCAAATGGGTGGTAGTAAACTGGCTAAGTGGTTTGAATGAGGATCATATGAAGGTTTGAGAATACAGAGAAAAATCTACTTATGAGAAAAGGACTATCCAGCAGGTCAGAGACCAGACAGAAGAATTAGGATTGAAGTCCTGATCTAATCCTGGTGGAAGAATTATACAATAATTTTTTTATAACTACAAAAATCAGTACTAGTCACTTCGAGAAACTTTTTTGAAATAAAAGGAAATATGGTGTTATTTTTATTTCCCTCTCTACAGACAGAGTGCCTAAGGAAAAAAGAATGTAAACTCAGTCTATCCACGTTTTGATTTCAGAAGAGTGACCACTGCACTCATCTACGTAGTAACTGATTTGGTGGACTCTGTTCTGGACATGGGGAAGTAGCTAGGGTGTGACAGTGCTCTGCTTTGGCCTCAAGGCTCTTCTGGCAACCTGAAAATAAGAGAAGAGTAAACAAACCACCTGTCACTGGAGGTGGCACTCTATAGCTGTGATGATTAAGAACCAGTCAAGCACACTGGGATCCTGGGATTCCATGCATTGGAAGTTTTGTAAAAAAAACTTGAGATTAGTAGACAAAAACAAATAGCTAAGTTTTTAAAAAAATAATTATTATGAATCTCAGTGGTAGAGTACTTGTCTTGCATGTGCAGGCCCTGGGTTCAGTCCCCAGCACTGAACAAAAAAGATGTTATTATGAGGGTATCATTTCTTGGAGGACTGTGTTCAGCTTTAGCAGTCAACAGGGACCCCGGCCCATCCTGCTCTTCTTGGCTTCCCAGCTGCCATGAAGTGAACAGATTTGCTCTGCTATATGCTTCCAACAGGATGTGCTGCCTTACCAAAGGCTGTGGACGGAGACGTCTAAAACTGTAAGCCAAAATAAAACTTTTTTTTCTTTAAGTTGATTGTCTCAGGTATTTTGTGATAGACAGAAATCTGACTAACATGGTCCAGTTCCCAAAACCAGTATCTCCTACCCCATGAGAAAGGCCGATAGCTCTGCTGAGTTTCTTACCAGCTGAGTTCCTGCTTTGGAATTGACAAATGCATGGAGGGAAATGTGGTGTTGAATCCAGTCTCATCTTTGACAGCTTCCCTTGTCTTTAGGATCATGGATCACAAGCCCACATTGTCTGGAAAGTTCTCTGATGCCTCCAATCAGATTAAAATAAGTATTTTGTCTGTCTTTCCTAGAGGGGCGCTGCCTGAAGCAAGCTTTGCACCATTGCCAGAAGTAGGGGTCTTCAGTGGCACTTCCGCATAGAGTTTCAGAAAATAACTCTAGCACCCGTCTCCTTGGATTCAAACCCAATTCTGTCACTTGCAAAATAATTACATTGGGAAAGTCATTTAATCTCTCTGTGGATTCATTTCTTTCTCTTCATATATGAACAAAATAACTTTACCTCAATGGATTTTGTGATGATCAAACAAAGCAATTAAAACTGTTTGGCATATGGGAAGTACTCTGTGTTTTCTGTGTATCTGTGTTTAAAATAAATTTAAATGATGAGCTGTTTATTGAGTGCATAACTGTACTATGGTGCTGTGGTAATAAAACAAGAAAAAATTTAAAACCTTGTTCCTACAAAGATCTTAAAATCTAAGAGAAAATGTTAATGTCTTCATTTATGCAGACAGTAGAATAATCCAATCAATTGTTATAGTCACAACTAAGTCATTTCAGAAGAGACAGTTTAAGAAGATCTATGAATTCAAAGGGTCCTGTTACCACAGAGGAACCTTCTTAAAGAAATTATGTCATGGAGTGTCACAACCTTTCAGATTTAAGGGCTGGGATGTAGCTCGGTGGTAGAGCATTTACCTAGGATGTGTGAGGCCCTGGATTCGATCCTAACACCAAAAAAGAAAAGACACAAAAACAAAACTTTCTGGATTTAAAAGTAGGTAAGATCAGTGATTCTAAAAAGAGAAGGCACTCTTCTGGTGGTTAAAAGAGTTCAGTATCTAAAAATAGTGGCTTCATGAAGAAACAGTTTTAGGTAAACCATTTACTTTGTAACTGCACCTCGGAGTTATATAATACTTAATTTGTATGGTGGCTTCATTAGCAGGTGTTTAAGTACAATGACAAGAGTTTCTCTCATGACAGCCTGAGCCTCCACATGCCCCCCAACGAATTCTCTAAGAGGAAAAGGAGAACAGGTGGGAATTACTAGAGGGGAGTTTTGTTTTTTTAATTGCAAATATCCTGGGAAGTCATTGTGCTGCGTATGGAAAAAAAAGAAAGGAAGGAAAAAGATGTGAATTGGGAGATTACTCCCTTTTATTGAGAATTTTTTAACTCTATTGACTTCAAGCAAAACTACTTTTTAAACTAACTCTAAAGTAACATTCTAATGCTACTAAATGAGAATTGGAATTCTAAAAAGGCAACTGGTTTCCTTTTGTACATTTACTCAGTGAAAGGGGATATTGTAATATTCTGGTAACAAAGGATAAAGAATATTAGTTATTCTATTTTGCATAACAAAAAAGATGACAAAAGAAACCTAAGAACACCCTTCAGAGGCCAAATATTCCCATGGGCTAGTTAAAGTGACTTAGCTACAGGACTCTGCAGCTGCCTGACTGGTGACTGGTAGGAAGCAAGGGATACACTTTGCTCAGGTGAGGACAGGTAATCAGAACTGTCATTTATCCAGCACCTAGGGGGTTCTGGTCACCCACATCCTTCACTTCATAGAAGTCTGTCATGACATTTCTGTAAAGTAGTTAATTCTCATATTACAGATAAGGAAACTGAAATTATGAACTAAACAGTGACTAGAAAAGAAAAGGAGAGAGAAAGAGGAGAGACAGAGACAGAACGAGAGGGGGGGAGAGAGAGAGAGAGAGAGGGAGAGAGAGAGAGAGAGAGAGAGAGAGAGAGAGAGAGAGAGAGAGAGAGAGAGAGAGAAGGAAAGAAAGGAAAGAAAGAAAAAGAAAAGAAAGAAAGAGTTCAAACTCTGGTTCCAAACTTGGTTTTCTTTCCATAGCATGCCTGACAAATGTTTATGATGTCACCACGTGCAATGCTGTTTGAAATATTAAGAAAGGTCCCATGAAATAAGCAAGTTTTGTTAAGCCTCTTAGGAGTTACAAAATGAATGAAAGTCCTACTGGTGTTTAAACCTGGAAGCTGCAAGTGACATTGCAGTTGCCCAGGCTCAGGTTCCAGCACAAAGGGAGGAGGCATGAACGCATTAGTGCTGGTTTGGCACAGTAACAGGCCTATGCGTGATGCTGTATAGAACTTCTTGTTTTTATTTGGACAACATCTGGCTTTTAGGAGTTTCTTGTGAGAAATTTGCTACGTTTGGTAGAATCGATTAGAATACCCAGAAGGCTGTTGTCCCCTTGGTTCATGTTAATATCAGTGAAATACCCCATTCTGCACGCTGTGCCTTGGCTCTTCATACTTTTCTTCCCAGTGCTCTTCAAGTTTCTGTATTCGTTCTCTCCCTGCTTAGACCCCCTGCTCACAAACAGCCAGCACTGAAGAATAAAATTTTCTAATCAGTTTCACCCCTGTCCCAAATTTTTAAGAAATTCAACATGATTCATCCATTGGATCATATTGTCTTCATAGGAAAAAATTCTTTATTACAACTTTTTGGCTGATTTAATATTTTAAAAAAAAATACAAAGAAAGTAAAGGTCATTTCTTCCCACAAACACCAAATTTCAATGTGAAAAGTCCATATGGAGAAGTACAGAGAATTGCCCAGAAGAGTTCAAGGAGGTTAAAGCAATTTGTACTTTAATTTTCCTCCCAGTCCTGAAGCTCTGGTGAAGACAGAAGTTACCTAATCTCTTATTGTCTTGACTTGTAAATTACTTTAGAGACAAGGTTAGTCTCCTGTCCTCAATTAGTTTCACATTTTATGTTTATTGAAAAAAAGTACATTTAAAATTACCTTGACACTTGGGTCATCATTGAATTGAATTAACCTAACAAGACTCTTAAAGCTACTTTAAAAATATATGCCAAGAGAAATATTCTCTTCCTTATTCTTTATTTTAGTAGCCTATTTCGTATAAAATATTCTCTGAATATTCAAGTAGATTGAGACTTAGATTTTTTTATCAAAAAATAAGATTAAATTCCCAGGACTAAATATAATGATTTACTTAATATTACCCAATAGTGGAAAGCCATATGAATTCTTGTTAACTTGAAACAGAATATCACAAGATAGTCGTCTTTGTTTTTATAGTGACATTTTAGTTTTATTCTAATGGGTAACAGTAGTATAACCACAAAACCATTGCTTCTTGTATTTAGAAATATCTTTTAGATAATTTATTTTCCAAAGTTTTATTAATAAGAGAAACTTGGACTGGATGGATTAAGTAATTTAATGGAGAGCACAGAGAGACCTATTAAAATGTTCACCTGCATATCAAGTTTGCACGTGTTGCTGCATTTAGAGTTACTAATTTCTATTGTAAGGAAAGGTCATTAATTCTTTTCTTTCTCAGGATACTCTGACCACTTATATCAGTAACTCAGAGAAAGCAATGCATCATCAGTCAGTGCACAGGAGGATTTCATGCTTTATTGTGAAATTAGTTTAAATGTCCATTTGCGTATATATAACAGCTCACTTTTTTTAATGGGAAAAGTCTTTTCTGTTGATTGATGTATCAAGTAATGAATGTGTCATTATATATTTATATTTATGGAACTTTCAAAGCACAAGCTTCATTAGTATCAACAAAATACCATCATTCATGTGATACCCTGTCTTACCTGTTTAACAATGAAGGAAATGAATGATAGAACCTCATTGTTCCTTAATTTAATTAGAACAATGATAATGTATTCAGAAGTTTAGAATGAGAATAGAATTTGAATTCCATGGAGATGTTACCAGGCTTTCATTTGACAGTGCTATCATTAAAATAGAATAGAATAAGTAAGTCAAAGAACAGCAGATAAACTCAATGGGAAATCGGGATCAGAATCCTAGGTCAATTAACTATAAAATTAGGCTAATACAAAAGCAGCATGCAAAGGAAATATATGTGTTGTCTTGAGGTACTAATTAGCAGAGTTTTTTTTTCCCCATGGTTCAGTGATTGGACCTCACAGTGATGAAATTTACTTCCTGAAATGGTACAACTTAGGCAGGTATATTAAAATTGATTGAAGTGTCCAATTCACATGTTCATTTTTCAGTTGACTGAAGTCTGTGTCTTCTTTGAGTTCTTCCAAAATTTGGTTTGATAAACACATTCTCATTGCTCTGTAGAGGATTATAGGGAGAAAATATAAAACAGTAGTACAAGACATACTACGTTGGAATACAACAAGAAAATTATTGCATGAAATAAATTTCAGGATTCTATGTTCTTAGAATTGAGAATTATCTTGAACATAATTAATAAGAAATAAAAAGAATCTTCTTAGAGATTAGCTATATTGAAGTTTTGGTGTCTTTTTTGCAAAAAACAAAAAAGAATATTTTATAAAAGCTATTCTAGAAGCCATAGGTAAGGAGTAAATATAGTGTTTCTGTTCCTGTTTTCTTCAGATGAGAAGTTAACAGAGAAGTGTGTAGAAGCAGGATATACTGTGAAGGCGGTATGTAAACAAGTTGACGTGCATACATGTTCCAGTTTAAGGCAAGCTCCCAATTCAGGTTTTTTTAAGAATATAGTTTTTCTTTTTTGTATGAAGTCTGCACAGAAAGTTATTCCTGAATTCTTCTCTGATGTTAGCATAAGAATGAAGAGTACTGAGCTGATCTCCCTCATCACAGCTATGTCTCCACCGTCTTGGCTGGAAAGTTGGATTTATGCTATGTGCATGCTGAATTTATGTTTGTGCCCCAGAGAGTGCCTGGAAGGGATGGGGACAGCCTTTGCTCTTATGGAAGAAGAGCATTTTCCAGTCTTTTTCTATTTGGATACCATGAGAACTGTGTAACCCAAACATTCCCAGTGAGAAATGGGCTGGTGGAGTCACCTGTGACTGCCACAGTGGGCAGTCGACTCAGATTCACACTTTATTTCCAACCAAGAGCAGTCACGTGCAAGTTCAAGGGTGTCAAGACAGTTCATACCTGACTTCTTCCCTAACATCTCGAGGTCCTGTTGAGACAGCACAGTCACTCTCACCTTTTGCACCTTTCCTTTGTAGATTAGCTTGGAGCAATATTAGTTAAAGAAGAACCAATGTATCTTCAATAATTTTGTGTTTTCTGACATTTTCTGTGAGATATGTCCAGATTTTATAACTCAGTTCACAAAGTTACTCCTAAAAACTTCATTTGCACAGATATGGGGAAATGAAATGAGTCTAAAGTTTGGTCTGCCTGATTTTCCTTGGCCCTTCCATTTATGTGAGACTTGAGCAGAGCATCAGAGCGTTAATCCTGTGATTGTGGAATGCACGTGGTTCTTGGGTCCATGTATTCTGTCCTTTTGTATGGCTTTGCTTACTTTGCCTTTCTGCTAGCTTTTCCTGCCCTGGGTGACATCCATCTATTTTTTTAAGGTTTCTAGAAACCTTTGCTACATGTCCCTATACCTTCACCATCTTAAAACTGTTCACTGAAATGAGCTCTTCTGAGTTCTCCATCAGAATCTGAGCTCCAAAAGGACAGAAACACACTGGTACCTGTAATGTGAGTGTGGTGCTCAGCCCACAGTGAGCAGTTAAAGCATGTGTGTTGCACTTAACTGAATTAAATTTATAGGACTTTTTTTTGCAGTGCTAAGGATCAAACCCAGGACTTTGTGTATGCCAGGCAAGTGCTCCACCACTGAGCTACATCTCAGCTGGCCAGTCCTTCTGCTTCAGTGTCCTGAGTAGCTAGGATTATTACTATGGCTTGTACTGCCATATATATGTCTTTTACAGGGACATTTAAATCCACTATGGTGTATTAATTGCTTTAAACTTCATAGTACCACAGAGAGGTATGAAATTGTATTGAAAATGTCAGAGGAGCTGGGTGCTGGTGGCTCATGCCTCTAATCCTAGCTACTTGGGAGGCTGAGAGGTATGAAGCCCTAAGTTCAAATCCTTAAAGACTCAATTTGTTACAAGAATAAATAAGTCGCTCAGAGTGTATAGAAATTTATGTAACAAAAATTAGGATTTGGGTGGTAATTAATCCATTCAAAAAAACTGAATAATGACAAGACAAACAATAAATGAAGTAAATCTGGTATCTGACTCAAAGCTTTTATTGTTTAAATATTTTCATATTGAGTTTTATTGTTCCTTTTAGTTGAGAGTTATGACTGTCTTTCATTTTATATAGCAGAATTTTCCTAGACTAAGGAGTTAGGTAACAAGCATTGTTAAGTTTTTAAAAAAATTCATTGGATAATCTAATGAGTTAAATCCTGTAGATAAACTAGGTGGATCTTTAATACTTTATTTTTCATTACATCAAGCTTTAGAAAACCTAGAAAATTCTTTCAAGTTAAATATTTGGTTCAGAGATAAAATTAGAATCTGGAAGTTTCTAGGACCTAAGCTCTTTCATGATGTTGGATAATTGTGGAAAAAACTTCAATTTGATTTTGTAGAATTAGATCCCTTTTGATGATCATTCAAACTCATTCCGGAAATTTGTTCTTGGTGGACATTTCTTCAAATAAATGTGCCTTGGGCTTGCACTTTAGGCATAGTTTCCTGTGAACTACACTCTCTCCTTGTGAGGTTATACCAGACACCACACCAAATTATTTACATACAGTTGGCTAAGAATTTAGGGAAACAGTAGAGGCAAGAGCACCTGCTACTCAAAAATCTTTTAGGAATTGTTTTTATGCTGCCTGGGAGGTTCCCAGCATTGTTGGAGTTTACATTTTCCCTCTAAGAGAAGACTAATACCTGTTTGTTTGTTTTTTTTTTTTAAACATAAAATCTCCCACTTATAAAGGCTGGCAATCAATTCTCTTTTTAAAAGATAGTAGGTGTGCCACTGCTGACCTTATTTATTTTTTTGCACTGTCCAAAGTCACTTACTGTAATAGTAATCTGGAAGACAGAAGTTGCATCAATTTGGGCAGAAAGACTATCCAGAAAAAAAAACACATAAGATGAATCAATCTTCCTGGCTCAATGCTGATCTCAATGAAGAAAATGCACCTGGAGCCCTCCACCTGTGTATCCTACTGGGCACAGCAGTGAGAACAGGGGTCCAGTGACTGACCAGCTGTGCAATGGAGGTCATTTAGGAATGGAGCCTCAAGTACTGATGGCAGCTAACAGGTAGGAGCCCTTACTAGAGCCAAGAGAAGTTTTTAATGCTTTCCTTATGTGTTGTAACTGATTTAATTCTCATTAAACTGTAAGGTTGACAATACTGTTAACTTTATATTAAAGGAAGTATGATAGCTTGCTCAAGGTTACACAGCTAGTAAGTGTTGGGACGTGGATTTGCATCCAATCTGGCTCCACATCTGGAAATATACCCATTGTAGGGCTTCCTAGATACATAATTTTGCATTTTGGGAAATAAGACGTAAATACACCATGGAGCATTATCAGACATAAAGAACAATGAAGTGTCATTTGTGGGAAAATGAATGCAACTGGAGAGCACCATGTTAAGTGAAATAAACCAGGTTCAGAAAGATAAATAATGGTTGTTTTCTCTCATATGTGGAATCTAGATCTAAGAAATAAAAAAGGAAATGAACATACAAGCAGGGCTATTTGGGAGGAGGAACAGTGGGAGGTGGAAAGGGAAAAGAATGGGTGAGGGAGACAGAATATGGTCAAAATGCAATGCAGACACATAAGAAAAGGTCAGACTGAACTTATTTAAAAAATTTGATAGTTTAAAAGAGGGGTTGAGGTGAGGGATGGTAAGAAAGAATATAGAGGGGTGAATGTGACCAAGATACATCAATTCATATACACTAATAAAATAATATTTTAAAAGAACTTATTTTTCTCTTTGCTTATAGCATTTGTTTCTACTTTTTAAAAAAGTAAGCTAAAGGCAGTTCCAACATTAAAAAAAAAGGAAACAAAACCAATCATGAAATAAAATATAAGTGAATCCTAATTGGTTATCCTTCACCACTAACTCATTTCCCTTCCCAAAAGGCAAAGGACAATACAATTAGAAGCACCTACCTGGAAGTCCTGTTTCAACAGAACTTAAAGGCACATCCGTGTCTTGCAGGGTGGGAGGTTGGATGTCTACTGGACGTTTCTGTGAATAAACACCAGAAAAATATCAGCTCCACAATTTTTTAAAGTGAAGACATTAAAAGTTAAAATGCTTCAGAAAAAAAAAATTTTCTAAAGCTTTTTTTGTTGAGTTGAAATTCACATCATAGAAGGTTTTTTGTTAAAGAAAAAGTTGCTGTTTCATAGGTATTTCTAAACCCTGACTTAAATTTAACATTTGCATTTCTAAATAGGATTTGGTATTCAACAGGTGCAACCTTAACCCTGCCACAATGAAAAGTGAAAATGGAAAACCAAGGGCTGTGACTTATCAGTTATGTTGGCCAGAGCCAAATTGTTTTGTGTACATGTATATACACAATATATACATATATTATATAATATAATTTTTAAGTATATAAATATAGAAATCACCTGATAGACGAAGTTAAGAGAACAAAGAAACTTCATATAGATTTTCTGTTGTTCTTGTTGCACAGCCCCACTGCTATAGTGTGGTTACTCTTCTAAACAAGTTTTTAAAGAGCACGTAGATTGTGATGATGGTCTATAAGTTTTAAGAGATTAGGAGGAGAAGATGGATGAAACCCGGCTATACCAAACTCACGTGACTAGGCACTTGGGATGTAGGATTCCAGACCCAGTGACACATGACACACACACACACCTACACACATGGATGTCGTGTCTTTTATTTTGCTTTTTTTTTTTTTTTGGTGGTACCTGGGTTTGAACTCAGGGTCTCAAGCTTCCTAGGCAGCCACTCTACCACTGAAACCATGCCTTTAGCCCTTTGGCTTTAATCATTTTTCAGGTGGGGTCTTGACGTTTTTGCTGGGGCTGACCTTGGAACTGTGCTCCTCCAATCTATGCCTCCTGCATAGCTAGGATTATATGCATGTACCATCACACTCAGTTTATTTGTCCTAGTGGAATCTTACTAATGTTTTCCCTGGGTTGGCTTCAAACCACAGTCCTCCTGATTTCTACCTCCTGATAGCTGGGATTACAGGCATGACCTAGTGTGCTTGGCCAGATGTTGTATCTTAGACATGTTAGATGGAAGTTTACATGCTTTGGAAAACTGTCACAGGGATTTAAAATAGCTTTAGTGATGAAAAAAATCACATGCTGAAAATTTATGGATGGACTTTGAAAAATTTGTTTCAGGAAATGGGAGAATGATAAAAGTAAAAGTTTAAAATATAGATATGTTTAAATATTTTGTGTGCAAATTAAGTAAATACTATAAGTGGAAATTTGACAATTTCATTTATATCCATCAAAATATACTAAGTCATATTAGACAAAACCTTTGGGAGTCTTTTATTGGGAGCATGTGGGAGATAGATTTCTTTTAAATTGGGGAAATGAGAAAATGGTAGAATAGATTCAGTGAATTTGTGACCAATTGAAAAAGATGGAGTTTTACACAGTGTTTTTCTCTTCGTTTTTAACTTTATTCAGAAGAAAAAACCACCTAAAGTTGTTCACACCAGAACTTAAAGAAAAATTTGAAAGTGCATTCTCACCTTTGTTAGTTGGTTGATACAGGCATAAATTGCAAAGATAGTTCCAAAGATACCAGCCATCACTCCAAAAACAATGACTATTATCACTATAGGGGAAAAAAAGAGCAGAAAAATCACAAAAGTTTGAAATGAACTCTATCAGCTGAAAAATCAAACAGGTAAATTGAGGGTACTTTGCTTGTTTATAGAAAATATATTAGTACTGTATAGTTTTCTGCACATTTTATCTTTAAAAATTAGTGTTTTCACAGAAACTTTGTGGGAACTGGAACACAGAGGGATAAAATCTTTTATCCGTGGTCACACAGCTAGTTTAGTGACAGACCGAAGACCTCAGAGTTCTGACTCCAAGTCCAGTGTTTTTTATAGAAGTAATCATAGGTAAGCACTTTGTGGGTATCCTGCCATGATGGGGGAAAGTCTCAAACTCTCCCATACTTTGAACACTGTGAGAGAGGGGTAATATTTCCATGTTTCACACAGACCATAAATCTCAACTTTAGAAGGAAACTGGCATAGACAGTTTGCAGATGAGTATATGAAGTCTAGTGAGGCTGAGTCACTTAGCATAGGTCAAGCAACTAGTGAAAACAGAATTGTAACTGTTATCCAAACCACCCATATTCTAAGCTTGTGTTTCTATAGAATCCTCATGCACAGTCACTAATATAGCAACAAAAATATTTTTTTAGTCTTTTACATGTTGGAATGAAACAATTTAATTAAGTTAGAGGAGCTTCCCACAGTCATATGGGAAACACGTAGAAATGAGGAGCAGAAGCATAGATAAAATGGCACATTTACTCGGCTGGTTTATATCTAAAAGACCTATTCTTGACTTAGAAAGCAAAAGTAGCTTTGAAAATAGTAAGTTTCTCTCCCACTGGTGTTGTCTAGCCTTTTTAGCCCTCTTAGCTTAATCTGTGAGGTTCTGAGAAAGTTCTACCATCCATTTTTTTTTCTTGTGTGAAATGTGGACACAGGCCAAGTGTGAAGGGAGCCTTTGAAATGCAGAATAATAAATGTGAACATAAACGGCCTAACGCCAGATTGACAGCAACAGCTGAGGGGTGAGGAGTGACATCAATTATATAGAGGTTGTAAAGATAGCCCCCAGGTGGGAGCAAAGAGCAGACATGAATCAAGATTGAGACATGAATGATCTGTATTTATTTTTATATGGTGCCAATTAATTGGGTGATTTTTCAAGTTCCTTCTATTCTTGACATTAGTGAAGAGGGAAGTTCAATTGTTTGATAAACTAAGAGACTTTTCTCATGTACCCATCATTGATTAGAAAGCTAAAATATTTAAGAAAAAATGATCAAGTTATGTGTTACAGTTTCAAAATGTTTACAAAATAAGAAATGATTCTTTTAAATTTGAGGATTTTTATTTACAACTTTGTGTGACTAAAGTTAATGGCACAAGGTCTTCTGTTTTAAAATAGGTATTTGAAACTTGCAAAATGTAATTTTAAGTGGAATGGTTATTGTTCCATAGCAAATATTAACATACCTGGTTCTGAGAAAATGTGTTCAAGTTGTTCTCTTGTTTCTAAAAAGACAGAATTTCAAAATAAGTCAGACTAAAAGGGAATGTCTAAAAAATCATTTTGGAATTAGATTGCTTACTGATTTTCTTTTTCTTAACCATGCTCTGGGAGATGCGGGCCAATTTTCAATATTAAGCTCATAAAATGTATTAGGACATGTGTTAGTCTAACCATTAGTAATTTCACAATTGACTTTTAACTACCCAACGAGTCTGCATGGCTGAGAAACGGGTGGACCACCTCATTAACTGAGAAAAGGGGTAAGAAAGTATTGGAAAAACCACATATCAACCCACAAGAAGCAGTTAATGTTTTTAAAGATGTGAAACTGATGAAAAGAAAGATGAGAACAGAGCCAAGACACCACACGCTCTAGTCCAACCCAGAGAGGGCTGATGTGGTTACCAACTTTCCAGGCTTATGCCACAGCCAGACCCTTGCTGTGTCTCATCTGAACTTTTGCCATTAGTCTCACTGGATTCACTGTCTGTAGAACTTTCTGGTAGAGCTGCCATAAGGTTCTGCCTTAACCTCAACCATCAGTTCATATCATAGGTTTCCGTGTTATCTCCACGTGCTCTTTATATCATAAAGTCCTTTTACTATCAGAGACACGGTTTTCTTGAATTTAATTATCACAAATAATATATCACACTATATTGTATCCTTTGATCAAGAACTTGGTTATACTTTGTTATTCTTCAGACGTTATGTACAAAGGTTTGTGGAAGTTTCTCTTCTTTTTCTTTGTGGAAGAATGTGCAGGCTTTGAGTTAAAACAGAGTGCCTCTTACTAGAGTGTGGTCTTAGACAAGTTAATTTCTCTGTGCTTTAGTATTATCATGGGGAAAATGAGGATTATAATAAATGCCTATGGCTCTAGACTCCTGTGAGGATGAATTAATTAATATGTGACAACACTTAGCATGATGGCTTGTGTGCTAAGCATTAATTATATAATACATGGCACTTAGCCACCGTGCAAGGCAAATGCTTTCCAGTGTGTTGCCATCCTGTTGGCCTCACATTGAAGTCACTTGAAGTGAGAAGATTATTTAATTGGACCCAGCAGTCTAATAATGAGTTCTAAACACTTAGCCTAACTTTCTCCATTAGGTCTCTGCTGTCCTTGAAACCCATTGCTACCATTTCTGTCATCGCACCTCTCAATGGTCTGTTGGTTCATCATCCTTGGCCACACCAAGTCTTCTATCAGGCTTAATTTTAAATCTGCAGTGTCTTTCCTAAGTGCCTATGAAAGACGTTCCCTTTTTCACTATCAGCCAGGTCTTGTAAGTCATCCTCTGTCTAGCAAGAGAGCAAATGTGACCTGCCCCTTATCTCAGCACCCAGCTTAGTGTAGGGCTATCACCTATGACACATCGCTGGATGCATGAGGCTCTGAGCTGTGCACTTTTGCATATGTCTTATTTAATCTTCAGAGGAACAACATATGCAAGTATTACTAGCATAATCTTAAAATTAGGGGGATGGAAGCCCTGCAAGGTAATTGACTTAGGCCTACAGCAGGGACAGGGCCACTTCAGGACTGAGCCACCTCTGTTTGTCACAGGCCCTGAGTTTTGGATCCTTGCATCTGGTCCACCATTTCATGGTCATGTTCATTTCCATGCTTTGTTAGACAGTTTTGATTTTTTTAAGTCATAGTATTATTATTGTTATTGAGTATTTCATAGGCAAGAGCAGCTCTGTAGCAGGGATGCATCTACATAACTTGTATTTCTCAGTGTTTGGCACAGTTTCCCTGCCTTGATTGGTTGGGTCCCATTGAATGAAACTGCATCTCAACCGGGACTCCAGACAAAGTATGAAAAAATAAGAACAAAGCTGGTTTCTCACCTGGGAAGGGAGGGTGTGGAGAAACAGCACTCACTGAGGTCTGACTGGAGGCAGCAAGACCTGTAGAAAATAGAAGTCCAGAGAGTGATCCAGAGTGATGGCACAAAGCATCAGTTAGGGATAATACACTACTCAGGTAGAATGGCTTATAAAAGAATTTGAAAATAACTCTTTCTAAACACTAACCTGGTGATAAGGAGTTTGAGATTCAGAAACTATTAAGATTAAAATTACAGAAAGAAACATTTTCCTTAAGAATCAGCTAAGGTTAGCTGGGATGAAACTCAAGTCAGAGTCCCTGCCTTGTAATGAAACCCTGAGTTCGAGCCCCGGTGCCACCAAAATAAAAAAATAAAAAAGCATCAGCTAAAGTATTTAAAAATTATAAAAAAGGAAAGCAAATGAAGAAAAATAATCTTTATTTCTTACTACATGTTAGATATGTACTTTAGTTCAACTCCTAGAGAATGCAATATGGGTGCCCGTTGTATTTTTAAAGGCCAAAATCTAAGGGAATTATGTCTATGTATGAAAGTATTATGGAAACAGTTAGCAAAAAAACTAGAAATAACCAAGAAATATTAAAGACTTAAAGCAATTTAACAAAAACCTGTCATCGGCCTAAGGCTCAGGTCCACAGGAATAAAACTGGAGAAGGCCTTTGGCGTTTTCTCTCTCCTTATCACTCCCATTCTTCACATCGCCCTTGTACGGCTGGCCTGTAATCCTCCACTCCTGCTTTACAGTCTTTGGCTCAGTTAGCTCATTTGCATTCAGGTCACACATCTGTAATCCTCATGGACACCAAACGGGCTTTTCTGAAACATCGACCTTGTTTCTAAGACCCCCGGTGTGGCTTGTTATGAAAATTGCTAGCACTAAGTAGTGCTTTGAACATAAAAGATGTCAATGCAACATCACTATCTGTGAGCATTTGATCAGATTCTTACAGGGAGAGAATGAGGCAAGTTTCCACAGAAATAAGAAGTCACAGAATGAGAGCCATTCTGTGTACACTGAAAAAACCATGTTGACAAAGAACCAATAAAATATGGCTGACATTTCAATAGCAAGCACATGCTTTTACAACTGGAAGAAAAAAAATCTAAAAGTGGAAAAATTGCGTGAAACGTAAAGTTCACAAGTATTAAAGTATTTGAAGTTTAACCTTGGCTGTCTAAGAGTTTTCACTATGACTATAAATTTGCCCCCTCCTCCTGGTTTCTTAGCCGTCCATCAGGACGTAGGGATTAGGACATCAGTCAAAGTTCGATGGAATTCCATTAGGGAAGTGTGTTCATTGCATGGGACCTCACACCACTTTATTTGTGAACACATATAAGGCCCTGCATAATTCAGCCCCTACTACCTTCCTGTTTCATTCTTTGATGCTCTGCCCTTTGCTCTAGGAACTCCAAATGTCCAGCCACACTACACATCAAATTCATCACCTTCTTCCACGTGCAAACCTTTGTGTTAGCTCTTCCCTTCACCTGAAATAGTTCCCTTTCTATCTTTGCCTAAATGTCTGATTTCCAGGTCTCAATTCAATGCCACTTCCCTGGGGAAGTCTTCTCTTGTCGCTTCTAATTAGATTTAGGACAAAAGCACCAAGAAGTTCCCCCAGTCCCCAAAGCTTAGGGTAGTGTGGTACAGGCCCAATAAAATCTTAGTATTGACTCTTTAGAATCCAGATGTACATTTCTTAGGCATACATGTCTTCCATGTTTATTTATTCATTCATTTACAGGAAAGAAGAACCTTCTGTAAATGAATGAACCATGAAAAAAATAACTCATTGAAAAATGAAAATTCATGGTTTTTCCTTTCAAGGAAACTCTAACTCAGTTGAGCAAGGCAAGAATTTACTCCCATGAAGTATTTTAGGTTGATGGTGGAGTGGTAGCACAAGAGAGAGTGGTCAATTCTACTTGATGGGGGAGTTGATGGAGAGACCTAAGGGGTAGCCTTTGAATTAATCTTGAAGGAAGTCTAGAATTTCACCAGGCAGACTGTGAAGGCAGTTAGGTACAGAGTCCACAGTGTCAGCAATGTCCTAGAACTGGAGACATCATTGGAGGTGGGGAACTGTGAGAAGAGAGGAAAGGAGAAGGGGACAAACAGCAGAGGGAAAGGCTGAAGAGTCAGTGAGCACCACACACTGTGGACCAGGCTATCCTGAAGGGTGGGCAAAGCCAATGAAGGGTTTGAGCCATATTTCCCCTGGGGACAATCACTGCCAGTAGCATGGAAGATGGTGAGGGAAACAGAACATGCCAGAGATCTGCATGAGAGCACCCCTTTCCCCACAGTCAAAAGTTGCCTGGATATGCAACTCTTGGCAAAAAGACACCCCTCCTTATAGAGGGTCCTTATCACTCGTTGACATAACTTTTGGTGAAGAAGGCATACAGTCAGAGGACTTGCAGGGATAGAAAACTATAGCAATTTACAAAAAGACACAGCAAAGACCCAGCAACAGTGCATAGCATCTCTTAAAACTAGCACTTTATGCTTTTAGGTTTAAACAAAGAGGGGGGTGAAAAGAGTAGTTAAAATTTATAAGCCAAGTATATCTAACTTTTTGGTATCAAAATGAGAAAATAGATCAGGAGAGACAGTGCATTAAAATGCTTTAAAATGGGTTTTAAACGTTATCAAAACAATGTTAACCCTCTAACAAACTGGTAGGCTTCCTCCACTAGTAGCTTCCTCACAGAAATAAAAAGAGCATTGAGTAAACAATGTCTCCAGAAGAAGTACAAGCTAAAGCCCCAAAGATCCAAACTCCACCCAAGTTTCTAGAGCAAGGCTCATACTCTAACAAAGGCTTTAAAATTTGTCCTGCACTAACACTGAGATTCCTTCTCACCCCAGCCGGAATGGCTTTCATCAAGCAAGCAAACAACAAATGCTGGCAAGGAGGAGGGGAAGAGAAGGAGTCACTGTACACTGTTGGTGGGAATGGGAATCTCTGCGGTCAGTATGGAGGCCCCTCTCAAAACTAAAACTAGAAGTACCACATGATCCTGCTTTACCACTCACAGGCATTTTTCCAAAGGAATGCAAGTCAGCACACAATAGAGACACCTGCACATCCTTGTTTACGGCAGCACTATTCAAAACATCCAAGCTATGGAATCAGCCTAGGTGCACAACAACCAATGAATAGATAGAGAAAAATGTGGTATATATACACAGTGGAGTATTATTCAGCCATAAAGAAGAATGAAATTATGTCATTGGCAAGAAAATGGGTCACCATGTTGAGAGAGATAAGCCAAACTCAGAAAGACAAATATTGCATATTTGCAATAATCTGATATGATTATAAAATGGGGACTATTTGGGGTGGGGGAACCAGCAGGAGTAGGAAGGGGGAAGAAAGAGAGTGATGGGGGGGTGAATGTGATTGAAGTACATTTTATATATATATATGTGTGTGTGTGTGTGTGTGTGTGTGGTATGTGTGTGTGTATGAAAACAGCATAAGAAAACCCACAAAAATATCAAAGTGGGGGAAGAGGGAGGAGAGATAAGAAGTAATAATAGAATTTGATCAAAGTCTACTATAAGCATCATGTAAATATCACATTAAAACCCACTTGTACAGTTAATTTACACTATTAAAAAGTTTGTCCTACCTCTGAACACACTGCTTATCTTTCTAATCTACACCCCCTCCTCCCTTCCTTCTATCTATCCAGTGAGGTGCTAAACCAAGGTCAGAACTTGAAGACTTCTAATAAGACAAGACATTGTCTACAGGAGCACAGTCCTTGAGGCAATTCCTAAAACTTGCGTACACTTTTTCCAAGTCCCACCTGAGCACGACATGTTCTGTGTGTGCCTTGCAAAACCTGACTGGTGGCCAAAGTGATTTTGACATTGAAATTTGCCACTTATCTTCCTAGAAGAATCTGCTTTAATTCTCTAGATTTATTTGCTTTGCTACAATTTCTTATGATAGTCACCTAAGTCAGCAGAGTAAGGAAATGCGTACATAAATGCCCTAAAGATGGTTCGGTATAAGTTTTTGATACAATTTCCTCAACAATCTAATAACATAGCTGACCTGTAAGACGATCTTGCCTGACTTTCAATGTTACTTTTCTTGGCAGTGTGGGGGGTTGAAACCAGGCCATGTGCTTGCCAGACAGGTGCTGTACCACTTGAGCCATTCCACCAGAGCTCTGGATGAGATCTTGTCAGCAAGACTTCCTTGATATTAACTGGTAAGCATTGGGTGAATTGTATACAAGAAAGGGCAACTAATGCTTTGAGATTCCTGGACATACTAAGAGTTAGAATTTTAGTAATGATCACATAGTCTTTATTTTACAATTTATTGCATTACTTGGATGGTATTTCTAAGCCCTCAGTAACAAAGTCACTAAGAGAAGCTGTGTGGCTCTAGCAATAGTAACATAAAAGTCATTTCATTTTCTTCCTTTCTTCTTTGTCTCTTTTGTTTTCATTTGACAGTACTGGGGTTGAACTCAGGGCCTTGCACTTGCTAGGCCAGGGCTCTAGCTACCAGATCTTTTTGCTTTGGTTATTTTTGAAATAGGGTCTCACTTTGTGCTTAAGCCAACCCGGACCACAGTCCTCCTATCTGTGCTTCCCTACATAGCTGAGATGACACCCGTGAATTACAACATCCAGTTGAGATGGGGTCTCCCAACTGTTTACCAGGGCTGGCCTCAAACTACAATCCTCCTGATCTCGGCCTCTCAGTAACTTGAGCCAGTGTGCCTTGTCTGGAGAGTCATTTTCTTAACCCTTCGTCTTAATGTCCTGACTTGACCTGAAAGTTTCCACCTCACCCTCCAAGTGAAGCATATTTTTCTTGAAGTCTGGTGGAAGATGTGCCTAGTACATGGCTACCCAGAACGGAGGGGCCTTGTGCTAGCACTACACCTTTTCCTTAGGTGCACTGGGCTTTGGGACCCTTACTCTCAAGCACTTACCCCATGCCTACTTGCAAAAGAGTCACTGGATGGTGAATGAAGGATGGGGGATTGAAGGATGGGTAGATTAGGTGGAAATATGGAAGAAGGAGGATTAAGATAAAGAAATAGCAGGGGGATTAAAATATGGAGAAAAGAGAGTATAACATCCATTGATATAGAGAGGTGAAGAGGCAGCTCACAGGCAAAGGTCTGCAAACTTTTGAGATTGACAAGAAGCCAATGAGTGAACAAAAAGGTAGTCTTGGTCAATGGGCCAAGTCTCAAACACTTAGTCCAAAATTTATTTTTCAGTTACTGGTCGCTGCAGTCGAGTCATACTAGTTATGGTACTAGTTATGGTACATTGAAGAGCTCCATAGATGTGACCTGAGCCAAATTGTAAAATTGTGAGTTTGGGAAGGGTGGAATGAATTGGCCTACTTTATGGAAATGTTAATATTCCAAATATGCAATGCAAATATTATGTACTTATGAATGAAAATGGAAAAGTAAGACCTATTGAAACTGTTCCAGGAATGGAGGGAGGATAAAGGAGAATGATGGAGGGGGTGAATTCAACTATGATATATTGTAAGAACTTTGGTAAATGTCACAATGTTCCACCTAGTACAATAATAATAAGAAAAAGATTTTTAAAAATAAGTATGCATTCACCTGTATCTCTGAACATTTCTTCTCTTATTCTCACTGCTCTGAAATCACAGTTGCTCATGAAACCTTCTAGCCTATGAAGTCCCTGTGTTGGTGGAGGGAGCATGAGTGGGCTCCTGTCATTCTGTTCATCACACCAAGGTGGGGGCCCTGAATACATTAGGGATACAACTAGGAATACTGAGCCACCTTCAGCCTTTGTTGTGTGCTCTGCCCACTATACCACATAGCTTTCTCAAACTGTTGGCATTTCTAACATGAAATGTTAAAAGAAAAATAGAAGGAAAGTGCCATGCCTAAAGTAGTTTTGCTCCAAGGCAACATGTCCATGGACTGAGCCCCTGTCACCATATGATAGTCAGCTCTGCAGCTGCAGGTTGGGTCTGGTTCCCTCCTGACTTCAGCTGATAGAAGGCTTATCTTGCAAGAGCAAACACATACCAGGAAACGCCTTAAGAAATTTTCAAGTCAGAAAATTAAGTTTTCTAAGCACTGCAGTTTTTTTGACATTTTGATTCTCATGAAAAATGATTCATAAATGTATTTATTAAAAGTTTGGGTAGCTAATTTATGGCAAACTGGGACAAAACCTCAAATACTACTATCTACCTTTTCTGTCACACCTTATTGTCTTTTCCAGAATGGACATATCAATGTCCTGTGCCAAAGGTGTTTGAAGATCATCTCCAGGTAACAACATTTTAAGGCCACCTATCAATTTTGCTCTTGAGCCAAAGGATTGCCAAGCTGAATCTAAGTCAGGTTGTAATAATTATAATGATATAGACATGTGCCCATATTGTCTGCTGTCACTCATTTTTTTTTTCTTAGAAGGGTTTTAATAAGCCAAAGTACCAACCACAGTTAGAAAACAGAAACTTTCTAAAGAAGAAAGTGTTGCATGTGAGAACATTGGATCAGTTTTTGTGTAAACTCTTCAGTCAGTAACTCCTAACCAAGAGCATGGTCCATTAACTGGTGCCATCAGTGGGCCAGGTGCCAAGTGCAGGGACCCCGTTTCTGCTCATGTACAGATTGGCACCTCTGGCAGTCTTCATGCAGCCAGATGACCCCACTGCTGCATCCCCTAGGTTGGTTCTGAAATGCCTGGAAGGTGTGGCCCCAGGGGACAATAGCTCCCTTCAGGGAGCCCTGAATTTCATGAACTGGCTTGTTCTGCCCAGTGTCTGTTCACCCTCACTGTCTCTCACTATGCCTGAGGCAACAAGATAGAGAAAAAATTGGTCTGTAGTCCCTGCCACCCCATGTCCTTCACCACAGACTGGAGGCAAAGAGCATTTCCATCCACCAGCTCAGATAGGAGGGACATTAGTTGTCTGGGTCTGCTGTAGTCACCAAATGATCATAGGTGATTTCTGGGCCTCCATGTTTTAGCCTCTAATATGAGAGTAATGGAACAGGTGACTTCTAAGACACTCACCATTCCAAAACCATAGAGACCATAGGTCTGAGACAGTATTTGTAGTTAACACTTCTTGTGCGTTCCAGGTACCCAATCTTGCCATCTTCAAAACAAATGGCCTGACATGATATACTGATTATTATTTGTAGAGGAGAAAAACAAAGACCAGAAACCCTTCCTCAATTGCCCAAACTCACATAGCTGCCAAGTAACAAAGCTAGATTTTTAACTCAGATCTGTTGTGCCTGTATAAATATCTTCCAATGCCTACCTTGATCTATGCAGAATGAGAGCATCAACTAAAGTGTCTTTTCTTGTTTGGTTATTTTGTTGTTGTTGTTATTATTGATTGTTCTTTTGTTCTTTTTTGAGACAGGGTATTGCTCTGTAGTCGAGAATGGCCTTGAACTCTATCCTCCTGCTCCTGCCTCCACCTCCCAAGTGCTGAGATTATAGGGTGCTCTAACACACCAAGCATGAAGTAGGTTTTCCTAAGACTAGACTACATTCTCTTCAAATTGTAATACAATATCTTTCACTTACAGCACACTAGGGCTAACTGAAAAAATACAAAAAGAAAAATAAAACAAAACAAAAAAACAATTCCCTTTGTACATAACCTGAAGTAGAAAGGTTGTACTTCCAATAGAGTTTTAGGGTAACTGCAGTGACAAATCCAAGTTATGAAAGGGCAATGAACGATATTTCTTAACTGGACTCTCACTTTTTCCAGCCAAAAATATTCCAATCTAATTACTCCTGCCTACCAAAGAATTCTCAGAACAAAAGGGGATTTTAGGCATTTTAGATGTGCCAGCTTTAAGGTACTGGCATTTCTGTAGCCAAGCTCTACACATAAGAAGTTTGGGCTCAAGCAAGTTGGGCCAGATGAAAAGTATTTTAGTCAAAAATGAAAAGTTTAATCTGCAAATTTTCACACCACTGATAACTTCCTTTCACTGGTTGAACCATAAATAGCCACAAGCAAACTCTGGGTAGTTCCCATTCTCACTGGCATATCAGTTACCTGAGCTTATCCAGGTGCTGGTCTCGGATATGCTGCCATCAGTGACAGCAGCTGCTCCAGGTGAGACAGAAACTGTGGTTTCCTGGGTTGTTATGTCACTTTCATCTAGAATTGAGGCTATGGAACTTGGAACAGCTTTGGAAAACAATTGGAAATTAGCCAGAGTTGCTAAGAAATTAACACCCATTTGCCATCTTTTAAGTGTGGGCATTTCTTAGGGTTTTGTTTTAGAACTTGCTTCCCAAACACACACACACACACACACACACACACACACACACACTTGATTCCACTTCCCAAGGGTAAGCACAACTGTATGTGAAGCAGACCAAGTTCAACTCTGGGTGGAAGCTGGCCTGACGTAGGCCTGAAGGCTCACAGTGCCCATCCACCACCATCTGGGAGCAGCTTCAAGGATCTCCATAGAAACTCAGCTCAGAAATCTTTAGTCTAAAACTAAGTTTCAAATTACAGGTTGGAATCCCTTAGCACAGTGGTTAGTAAACTTCTGCAAGGGATAGAAAGTAGATATTTCAGGCTTTGCAAGCCCTCGGTATTACCACTATTCATACATTATTTTAAATTCTTGTGTAACAGCAAACAAAACAATATGGAAACCAAAGCATAGATGAATGAAGAAGGCTACTTCTTGAGAATGGACAGTAGAATCCGAGTTCCATATATGTGTCCCAAGGGATTCTTCTTTTGATTTTTTTTAAGCAATTAAAAATGTTAAAACCATTTTTAACCCACAGGCTGTACAAAACCGGGTGGTGGGGTGGATTTGGCTGACAGGGTATAGTTTGCTGGGCCCCTTATTTGTATAACTAGAATCTCTTGGTATGGAACTCCATTGTTGGTACTTTTGAGGTCCCCTGAGACCATTGTAACATATAGTCAGGATGTGCATCCTAACACTAATGGGCTATGAAATAAGTTCAATGGGTTGTCCCTGGCATTAAAAAACAAACTTGCACAAAATAGAATACATCAAAGTGCATCACATAGATATTATTCTGCGGAAGTTTCCTGTGTGTGTGTGTGTGTGTACATGTGTGAGTGTGAGAGAGTGTGTGGGTGTGTGTGAGTGTGCAACAGTTTGTGAGTGTGTGTGTGTATTTGTGAGTATGTATAATGAGCTGCAGCGTGCATTCACTTCATCTCCATATACTTGGTTATGTTTTGAGGTTGCTATACCTTGTCATACCCTGTCAGGATGCTCAGCTGCCAGAAGACTGATGTGAATGATGGCCTATGACACACCTGAAATCCATTCATGGACTCCACAAGCCATTCCTTATTCAGCTTCCATGTGGTACTTAAAAGCAGCTAGAGTTTCAGTGTGTGCTGTGCTATTAAATGGTTTGGCAGTGCTGAGACTGAATGCTTCTAGAAACATAAAGTTACACAATCGGCTGATTACAAGTACTATAGATCTTTCAAAACACATGAGAGGATAAGACAGTACACATACCAGAAGAGTAGAAATAAGAAATCCTATAATGAAGTATGGAATAAAGATAACAGAAATAAGATGCAAAATGTCAGCTGTGAATTCGTAAAAGCATGTGGATTAAACTGCTGTCTTAAACAATGTAGACTTTAGTTTGAGGTTGAACAGATAGACTAAAAACAACAGATGCATGCCAAATCACAAAGAGCACAAAACAAAAAAGTGCAAACTGTGCAAAAAATGAGTAACGGTATATTAGTCAAATAAAAATAAACATAAAACTAAAAAGAAACCATGATGCTAATATTAGACATTAAAAAGAATGGAGAGGATTAGCTTATATTGTTAAAGGATATACACTACACAATGATTAGTAAGTAAATGCAGACCATTACAGCACCATACGAAACTTCACAATGAGGTATATAAACAAAAGAAATTAATTGACAGAAATACAATAGCAGTGAGGAATTTTAAGCTCTCTAACTATGACAGATCAAAAAGGCAAAAAAAAGAACCTGAAATATACCTGCTTTGTAATCACAAGCTATTGATTTATGCTTCTTTTGTTCTAATATATTGTTGAAGATAGACTTTGTCATGCCTTCCCACATTGCCATAAACACATGCTGCATTGCCTAACAAAGCGCTTTTGAGATCTGTACCTGGCAGAAAAGTTCAGGAAAGAAGGAAAGAGGTGCATTTTCTGTAATTTTTCTCCTAGCAAGATGCAATTTCAACGCTGTGATCTAACTTTAGATATAGTTGCACTGTTCCTGTTTTGAACTTTGTATTTCTTTTCTTTTATTTAGACTTTTAAATATAATCATGATGGGGAATGGCAACATCAAAGAGAAGTCCAAGATTTAAAAAAAATGTCTAGTCCATATAAAAATGAGCAAAACCCTAACCTAGAGTCATATAGTTCAAGGTAGCCCTTTAACTATATGGAAAAGGAAGACAGACCACCAACTTGCATGCAAGGCTTCACTATAGTGAAAACAAGCAGAACATTGACTGACGATGTTGCAAGAGTCCGAGGAGCCAAGCCCCTGCACATCACTCTGGGTGACAAAGAAAGTCATTACCGTGCACCCATCAAATGACAGAGTCCGGGGTGTAAGTGCCTGGTTTCAGACTAATCCAGTTATGGTCTATCTGGGATTGTGAATAATTAATCGCTCTGTACCTGTGCTTTGTCATTGCATCTTGGGAATAGCAACAGCATCTCCTGAGGGGTTACTGGCCAGATTAAATGAGTTACATGTAAATTTTTGTACAAATGGAAAGGCTGATCCTAAAATTCATAAGAAACTGTTAGAGACCAGAGATAGTCAAAACAATCCTGAAGAAGGACAAGGTTTGAAGACTCATGCTTCCTAGTCCAAATTTTAACATGAAACAACAGTAGTCAGAATTGTGGTATTGCCCTAAGGACAGACATATAGATCAATAGGATAGAATGGAGAATTCAGAATTATGTATCTATGATCCCTTGATTTTCAAGAAGGATGTCAAGACCATTCCGTGAGGATAGGGAAGTTATCTTCAACAAATGGTTCTGGAATGTCCACATGCAAAATGATGAAGTTTGACTTTTACCTCATGACATATGCAAATATTAACTCAAAATGGATCAAAAAAAAATCTAAATATGAGAGTTAAAACTGTAAAACTCTTTGGAAGAGAACATAGGGATAAATCTTCATGACATTGAATTTGGTAATTTATTTTTGAGATATTACATCAAAAGTATAGGCAATAAAATAGATAAATGAGACTTCATCAAAACAAAAAAATTATGCATTAGAGAACACTATCAAAAGTAAAAGGACAATCACAAAATGGGAAAATATTTGCAAATTGCATATCTGATAAGAGACTATATCCAGAACACAAAAAGAACTTTTATAACTCAATAAAAAGATTATAAAGTTTAATGAGAACAGGATTTGAACAGACATTTCTCCAAGGAATATATACAGGATACACATGGCCGACAACCATATGAAAAAATACTAGACCTCATTAGTCACTGGGAAAATGCAATGCTGTGCCTGTTAAAATGGCTAAACAGAGTCCCCACTTAGGATGGGTTGATTCAATGACTTTTCATGCTTATGATGTGTGAAAGCTATTGCCATTCACCCATTCTTTTTTTCACTTTCAGTAAAGCATTCAATAAATCAAATTGATATTCAACATAGGCTTTGTGTTAGATGATTTCGCTTGACTGTAGGCTACTTTAAGCATTGTGAATACACTTAAGAGAGTCTAGGCTAAGTTAGGTGAGATGTATTAAATGCATTTAAAATTTTTGTTCACAGTGCTAAGGATAGAACTCAGGGCCTTACATAAGCTAGGCAAGCACTCTACTACTGAGCTCCAACCCAGACTTTTTGCTTTTGCAACCGTGGGGATCAAACCAGGGCTTTGTGCATGCTAGGCACATACTCTACCACTGAGCTAATTCCTCAGCCCTTGGTTTTAAGACAAGACATAAACTGTCTAGATTTGTATATTGCCCTCTCTGTGTACCGGCTTTTGACCTTGGGCAAGTTTTTAAAACTTTTTGAACCTCTGTGTTTTCATCTGTGCATTGGAGATATCTACTCCACAAAGTTGTTTTCATAATAAAATGAAATAGCCCAGGTAAAAGGCTACTCGTGGTACCTTATACATACAAAGTATTTAGAAAGACTACTAGTATCTGCAAAGTCTCATTTTCCCATAATAGATATGTGGCATTCTAAAATATATGCTATAACCCTTTAAACCCAATACAAGAGAAGTCAAACCATCTCTTTACATATGGGTTTTGTGAAGTAGAGAACTATTTTCTTTATCAGTGGTTGCTTTTTTTTTTTTTTCTTTTTTTGTATCATTGGCTACACAGTGCCAAGGACTATAGGTGGCTTACAGGTAAAAGTATAAGAACTGCAAATGTAACTTTCATGGAAATTGTTAAGGAATATTAGCCAGTTATGGTCATAGGAGGTCAATTGTATGAAGAGCTATGCTTCTTGCAACAGGTCTCATTTTCAAATTAGACTGGAAGAAACACAGCTTGATTTCCTATGCACTTACTACCAGAGATCTGAAATTTTCTTCTCTGAGTCAAGTGAGTGCTTTTCATATTCTGTCTAGCTAAAGGCTTAAATGTAATAAAACCTTTGTAGAGTTATACATAGCTTGAGAGAAACTCAGCCTTTCTGCTTTGGAACCTTAAAACAAATTGCTGATTTTAAGACTGATCTTAAAATCATCCAGGAAGACAAGGCTGCAGAGGAGATGATGGTCAGACTCCACTGTATCTTCTCATGAGTGTGAGCATGGTGCAAGAAGACTGAGAGCAGGACATGTACAATGTTTTATGATTTGACAACTTAAAACATTTTGGGTGTCATTTACTGTTCTTGAGTCAGGAATGGAACAGAACACTACCTGATTCCCCAGAACCTTCAGACTTGTTTTTAGCAAGTACTTTGCTGATACTTTTAGTTACTGGAGGTGTAGCAGTTAGGGACTTAGGAGTAAGTCTTTGTATTCCAATAGAAAGGAGACCTATAAAAGACTGAAAAATGGGAAACTAACAATGGATTATCTCATATGTTCAATGTCACTTCCTGCTCTTTTCTCTACCAGATCCCTCAAATCAGTCCCAGCATACAAAGTAACCCAGCTCACTTGGAATTCTCTTATATTTCTTGATAATATAGAAAGAGATTGTGCTTGTTCAGTCTATTTTTTTAAAACATTTGAAACTTTTCCTAATCACATTATATGATTCTCTTTGCAGAAAATTTGGAAAGTATTAAATAGCAGGAGAAAAGTTATCCACAATCCCATCACCCAGAGATAATCCTGGGGTGTTTCTTTTCAGTATTTTATTTTTTGTGTAGTTCATTTGTCACAGACAACTCTACAGAGATGTACTTATTAAAGATGTAAATGTGACAATAATGGCTGGAAGTCTATTATATAAAAACATAGGTCCCACCTGTTGATGTGTATCTTAGATCACCAATGGTTGAAACTTCGAGGGCAGTGACTGATACACAACCTGTAAAGAAAAGTGAAGGAATTCCTTAAAAATGTACTTCCCGCAACCTGCAGAATAGGAGAAATTTTCACCAACTACTCATCTGACAGAAGGTTAAAAATCCAGACTATGTAAGAAACTCAAAAAGAATCAAGTAATTCAATTTAAAAATGGGCAAATGATCTGAATAGACACTTGTAGAAAAAAAATACAAATAGCTAAAAATATACATGAAAAAATGCTCAATATTGGTAGCCATGAGGAAAATGCAAACCAAAATGACAATGAGATACAATCTCACCCCAGATAGAATGGCGATTATTAAAAATAATAAGTAATAAGTAAATGCTGGGGAGAATGTGGAGTAACAGTAACTCTAACTGCAAATTAGTTCAGCTACTTGGAAAGAGTACAGAGTTTCTCCACACACTAAAACTAGGTCTTCCATACGGTTCCTCAGTCTTACTTCTGGGTATATATTCAAAGGAAATGAAATCAGTCCTGCATGGCTGTGCTTCCTGGACACTGCTCACAATAAGCAAAATACGGAATCAGCCTAGTGCCAAAAAGTAAAGAAAATGTGATGCATAATCATTACTCAGTCACACACCCAGGTTTGTTCCCTAGTCTTCATTATTAACAGAGTTGGTACCTATTTGAACAGTGCTTTTATTATTCGTACTTACTCGTTTTGATAATGTTTGAGGCGTTGTGTGAGGTGCTGGTGTAAGTGCATTGTGGTCAATACTTTGTTTAGTCCTTCTGCAATTACTGTCTATGAGACAAGCATCAACGTTCCCCACATTGTACACACGATGGTGTTGAAGCAAAGGGGGGAGGTAATCTGCCTTAACGTTGCCCAGACTTTCAGATAAAGCAACCAGATTTGAATCCAGTTCTGTCCGTTCCTCACGTCTGTGCTCTTCATTGTTACTCTATTTTACCCCTGGGTGTCTGAGGATATGCTGATTCTTCTCTGTATTCTCCAGAATGCTCAGAAGACTCTTGATATTCCAGCTTGAGGTTATGGCTATGTCTATTGGCTAAACACCCTTCCAGTAACTGTCTGTTACAGTTTCTAACACAGAAACACTGCATCGGAGCGCATGCTACCCAGAACAGCTTTAGGAAGAGGCCAAAGATAAGATTAGTTTAATACAATTTAATAATACTTCTATGTAATTTTTTTATTGGATGAATTGTTTTAGATTTCTCCTCAAACCATGTAACACCTAAGCCAATGGCAGGGGTGTTTGTTCTTTGCTTTTCTTCCTGAGACCTTACACATCCACAGAGAAAGAAATGAACACTGCCCAGTGGTTTCAGAGTTCATTCTTGTGGCTCGTCCCTTTTGGGCAAAAGAAGTAGAAAACTATACTTTCTGAAAACTGAAGACCACATATCTACCATCACCTTCACTAATGGATCTTTAATTAAGAAATTAACCCCCTCATAACTCAAACAAAGCTACAAATTTACATGAAAATATTTCTCATATTTGATAAATTCTCTTAATCCCAGCTACAAATTAAAGCAAACTTCATGTACTAGAAAACTGTGACTCAGCCACAAATACTGGGCTCCCCGTGCCATTCGCCAAACACTGCCAGCTAATCCCCAATAAAATACACCTACCAGACTAGAATTTGAGATGTTATTCATTTATTCACTTGACAAGACAGAACTAAAACTGAGTTAGTGCACAATTTTAATCTATGAGTTCAGATCCAATGTAATAGCATCAAGCCAAAAACAAAACAAAACAAAACAAAAACCCTTTCACTTACCTGACAATAGTAGGGCTATTGTTATTTTCATATACATCCTGGGGTTATAAACTGGCTCACAGAGTCAATGCAAGAAAGCCACCAAGGAGAACAGGAGGCACATTCTCTACCAGTGTGTGCTGGTATCTTTCAGGCCCACCTTCCCCAGGCTGCTATCACTCGAGGGACATTGGGCGGCTTTTTAAATGATACCAAGTTGTTAAGTGCCTGTTATCAAAGATACAGGAATCCTGCTTCACTGGAGCCTTGAAAGTAGCAAGTAAAACCAGTCAAGAGACTGGCTGCTACGTGTTAAATTTACTTTGCATTAATTAAGGGGACAGGCAAGGTAGTAGCAGGAACCTCCCAACTGGACACAGAATCAGACTGCAGAGGTTGAGGTCAGGGTACCCACTGGGATGCTGTGGAATATGGAATTCTCATTCATAGCTGGAGGTCCTTGTGGTCTATAAAGAAAATAATTTCTTATAAGTGAAGTAAATGCAATTGAGAACTTTAATCATCATGAGTGCTCTGAGATGTGAGAAGACTCTAAAACTCATGACAAGTCAAACAGCAATGAAAGAGACACGAGACGGAAGAAATCTTTCACTGAAAATAGAATTTAAACCGAGTCCTTCCCTACACATCGGCAGACCCAATGACTGGTTTCTCTCCAACGCATCCTACTAAGTAAACCTGAGTTAATACTAAATAATAAATGTATACCCTCAAAAACAAAAAGGCAAGCCCAAACCATTGTCGTAAAGCCGGTTAAAATGAGAGGTGTGCAATCGGAGGAGGATTGATGCTAACAAAACCAACGTGGATCCTCGGCAGCCACCTGCGTGAGCGTAGGACACAGGGAAGCAATGGATGCTTTGCTCGAGTGGCTGGAATAGTCATCAGCTCTGACTGACCTGAGGATCCGAAGTGACTGTGAGTTAACACCGAGTTTAGCTTACCTCAGGTGACATGTTGACTCATCTTAGCCTATTAACTAAGGGCGAAACCTGGTGGTTTCTCAGTGGAAATGGGTCAAAGCCCAGCATCACGCCCCGCGTGTGTGGAAGTAGAGCTGCACAGTGCCCTCTAGTGGCACCTCCGCAGGATAGAAGGAAAAATGCGAGCCCTGAAAATGGAACAGAAAAACACTACAAGTGGAATTACACTTTGCCCTTTCAGGCATTTCTCAGTCTTCTTTATAATCTCACCAAAACACCTGTTCAGGATTTAAAATAGAATCCTACCTGTAAGATGCATGATGCAAATGTGTTGAGAATTTTGAATGTGTGCTTAAAGTAAAGCAAATACTTTTGAGACATTTGATCAAACCTAACAACCTCATCACTTATCGTGGTCCTATATCTCCTTGGGTTAATTTTTTCTTATTGTCATTGCATGGGTCATTGCTAGTATACAGTGATATGGTCAAGGAAAAAGATAAAAATGTGATGCTGGAAACGTGAAAAGTCACCTTGGATTGATTAACACAGACCAACATCTTGCCTGCTTTGGGACAGGGAGCCAACCACTCTTTTTTTACCAATTATTTGCTAACTCTTTTAGGCTCAGGTTATTTCTGAAGATGGTTTCCTGCTAGTCTGATCTGCCAGTGAAGGACTCTTCTTTTTATGTTTTGTATGGAGGATCAAGGAACAGGGAAAGGACAGGAAAGTTGAATATACTATAGTTTTTTAAAGGTCATTGTTGACTCCAGTATCTAAGCATTATAGTTTGGTTTTTATTTTATTTGTTTTTATATGCTAAAGTGTGCATAACATAATATTTGCCATCTTAACAGTTTCTAAGTGCACTGTTCAATGACAGTAAGTCCATTCACAGTGTTGAACACCAGCAGTTTTGTAACATTTTTGATGGTTTGCCACATTTCTCTGCTTCTACTAATTTTTTCCTGTATTTGGGTGTTAGCCTCCACTGTTTAGCTTTCCACCTACGCAGTTTCAATGGAGATGTCTTGGGGACATCATCACATTTTATGTAGGCACCTTCCCTTTATTGGACTTTTCTGTTTTTCCAACTTAGCTTTCTAGACATGCCATGCCATCCTAATACTCAGGAGTGTCCTGTGGGGGAAAGCAAGCTTTGTAGTTAGGGTTCTTGTTCCTAATCTTACATGGCAGTCCTGATTAGCCACCAACTCTCCTCTCCCACCCCCCACAAACTCTTACAGTGTCTTCCTGCTTATGATCAATTTATGTCCTCATCAAAGACATCAGCATATAGGAAAATTCCCTCCAGGAAGGGAAAATTCCCTCTTAAGTGACTGTGCCCCTCCCTATAACCTCTCACACTATATGACTGGGGTGCCAATGATAGAATTTTCCTTATGTATTCCTGCTCTTTTCCCCAGTGTGCCCAAATTGTAGGAGTAATTTTTGTCAAATGTTTCAGTGATCCATGAGCAAATAGCCAAGGGTCATTTTTAATGGTGGACTTCCAATTCATTAAAAACTAGCCTAAAGAGGCTCATATTATTTCATCAAATTCTAGAACTATAGATCCCAATGTCTTTGCTATTCCCCACCCTCCTCTTTTTTTTTTTTTGTGGTACTGTGGCTTGAACTCAGAGCCTCTGCTTGCTAGGCAGGTGCTCTACCACTTGAGCCACTCAGCCAGCCCTATTTTTCTCTTTTTACTGCAGTCTTGGGCCCAGAGGGCAGAAGCTGGTGGCTTATTATAGCAACAAATATACGTAAGCTTCCACAGGCCCTAAGAATCATCTGAGCTCATGATAATAAACTTATTTTTAGATTATAATTCAGTAGGATGCCTGTTACGCTGTGATCTGTTAACTCAGATATTCTTCCAATAAATTCATCATATTAAATAAAAAAATCACTGTGTACCGACCAAATGTCAGGCATTATAATAATTACATCTTGTAGGTAATATATTACTCCTTATCACAATTCCAAGAGGTAAATACCATTCTCGTAGCACATGGTAGAGCCAAGATTTGAACCAGCCAGTCTGTCAGCAAGGTCCAGGTTTATACTCTACAAGGTTGACTGCCTCCTGTTGTATTAGACAATTTAACAAAAAGTCAGTCAGCATTGTCTGGAGCAGCAGGGATGGGTGAACCATTGTAATGAGGACATTGTGGCATGGAGGAGAGGCCGAAGTGACATTCATTGAGTAGACACCACTCACTGTGCCCTGTGGCCGGTGCAGACTCTTTAGAGGAGTGAAAGTGACTCACTATGGTTGGGGAGCAGATTACGAGAAGAGAGAGTAGTGGTGGGCTTCATGTCATGGCAATTGGGAAGACAATGAAGGCTGTGCGTCAAGAGGAGCCACATAGTCTTCAGGATGGAGAAGAGATTTTGGGGAAGACAGCATTGATGACAAGAGAAGAGTGAGAAGCCCTCGCAGCAGTTGGGGAGTAAAGACAGGTATCTCAATTAAGTGACGATTTTGGAGTCAGTTGAACTGACTCAACAACATGAGACTTAACATTGAATGACCCTGGGTTTAATAGGATAAGGCGGAAGGAGAGAGGGTGCCTAAAGGTTGGATCCAAAATTTCCAACTCGAATGACTAGGTCCGGTTCTGGAAATAAACCAGATTTGTCAGGGAAGATCATGAATTTCATTTTGGATGTGCTGAATTTGAGGATAAAGGAGGGAATGGCATCAAAATAGTTATCTAGACTGGAGGTAGAGATGTGGCAATCGTCCATCCACCTGTGTATTCACTCCATTATCATGGACAAGAATGAGGGAAAGACAGGTTTGTGGTGTCTTCAGGCAGATGCACAGGCCCCAGGTGGTCTCTAGGCCTAGCTTTGGGAAATGGAGACATGGGTGGTCTTGGCCACATGGATCCAGTTAAGTTCCATAGTATTCAGCTGACCATAACCTACTCCTTTCTTGGAGTACTTCCCTCCAAGTCAGAGATGGGAACCATCACTTCTGAATATGACTGAGTATTGCTTTTGGCATGGATACCCAATATGACTTGATTCCATATAATCTCCTCTGGGATGACACAGAAGGCTGGAAGTTGGAAGCTAAGTACTATTAAGGATGGAGTCCTTGGGTGAGTATCAACAAAAATGTAGTCCATTGAACTATTGGGGTTCCCACCCTTACTGACGCCTGGAATCTGTGAGGTAGACCAGGGTCCTTCTGGTAAATTTTATTGTTCTAGGAAGCTGTTTTGAAGTGGGTTGGGGATACTTATAACCCAAAGAGTCTTCATTAGGTCAGGCCTTGATGTATCTAATTAGGGAATCATTAGCAGAATGAGTCAAAGGCTTAGGCTGAGCTCAACTGGCCAGGGACCAAGATAAGCAATTTACAAGTCTCCATGACATAAGTGAGGACTGTGGTGACTGCGTTCACTGAAGTCACTGCCTCAGATAATTTGGCTTCAAATGACTAGAGGGGCCATTTGTGCTTGGCTAATTGTGTGAGGATGTTGAGCCAATCCACACACTTCCAGAAGTGAGAAGTGAGCCTCAATTGTCTCTTCTTGACAAACCCTGCTGGTTGTTTTTTGTTTGTTTGTTTGCTTCCTTGCGTTTCCAGTCTAGTGTAGATTCAGTTACCCTTGAGCTATGAAAGTACGCCAAGGAATGGTGTTTGTCTTCTGGCTTGGAACAAAGTCATAGTACACAAATTTATTTCTTATTTATTTGTTCAGCCAAATCACCAGAGTTGTTTGTTGTTGCTATTTGATAATTTGTTTTCCTCTCATTGAGTGTGACAATACAGAATGCGGGCACCCGTTTTATTTGGGCATTCTACACAGATGCTGGATATAACAAGGATGGAGGGAAAAATTACTAAAAAAATGCCTATCTTTATAAGACAAACATCTCAGAATAAGAAATGAATGTAGGCATGGTGGCATACTCCTGTAGTCCCAGCACTTGAAAGGCTGAAGCAGGAGGACTATGAATTCTAGGACAGCCTGGGTTATATAACAAGACCCTGTCTCAAAAACAACAACCACAAAACAAAACAAACAAATAAAAAAGAGAAGAAAATAAACAATAGAAGTCATTTTCAAATATCTGATTTCTATGCTACTAGTCTCATATCTTATTGGTTATGATTTAACAAATGAGTCATGTAGTCATGTTTCAAGTGCATTGTCTTCAATACAAAGTGTAACTGGTGCAAGATATAGTCTAAAAAAATAAATGAAAAAACACTGTCATAAGAAAGCAAGATTTCAGAAACATAATGCTTCAATAATTTCAATAGAG